ACGGCGGAAGAAGAGTTCGACATCATGTCGTGCCAGAAATTCATTAAGGTGGGGACGCAGTGGAATAAAGCTGAGGCCTTTGCCGAGTACATTGCTGAATCACCCACTAAAAATGTTCTGGGGTTAACATTGACCAGAAACTGAACTGGACTAGCCATATCAATATTGTGATTACAAGAGCAATTCAGAGCTTGGAATCCTGCAGTGCATAACTCACCAACTCCCCAAAGCCTACCCACCATCCACATGGCACCCTTGCCAGGATGAGTGCTTCTTGAGTGTTATTGGAGCTGCACTCATTCAGGCAAATAGGGAGTAGCCCATCACACTCCTGACAATGTGCCTTATTGACATGGACAAGCTTTGGGAAGTCAGGAGGTGAGCTATTCACTGAAAGATTCCTTGCCTCTGACCTGCTTTTGTAGCCACTGAACTTATATTACAAGTCAGTTTCTGGTCAATGGTAACCCCCAGGATATCGATAATAGAGAATTCAGTGATGCTACTACCATAGAATGTCAACAGGTGATGGCTAGTTTTTCTCTTAATGGAGGTGGTTATTGTCTGGCACTCTGTGGCACAAAATGTTACTTGTTACTTGGCAGCCCAAGCCTGGATATAGTCCAGGTCTGGCTGCATTTGGACATATACTGCTTCAGTATTGCAACAGTCACAAATGCTTCTGAACATTATGCAATTATCTGCGAACATCCCCAATTTTGACCCTTATGGTGGACAGAAGGTCCTTGATGAAGCAGCTGAAGATAATTTGACAAATCCCCAGTGTTGCCTATCACTCAAGCTTCCTCTTTTCAGTTGAGTTTAGCTTTGCCGGATTTACTAAATAAAATATTCTGTAGATGCAAGGCACCCCCATTTTGTAGAAGTGACAAAGGAGGAAGAACGACATGGACTCTACTTGAATTGCATGGACAGTCTGGTCAATGATTGCCATAACATTGGCAACAGAGAAAAATAAGACAGTGGCTCTGACAGTTCTTATCAAGTCATCAGAAAACCCATGGGCCAAACAGCAGAAATTAAAGGATGGGGGAAAATATTAGTTTTATATACTGATTTCTTTGAATGTAAGAATTGTATTGGTGATAGTAAGAACTGCAGATGCTGGAGTCAGAGATAACACAGTGTGGAGTTGGAAGAACACAGTAGGCTGGGCAGCATCAGAGGAGCAGGAAAGTTGACGTTTCCGGTCGGGGCCCTTCTTCAGAAATGGGAGGGTGCGATAAGGGAGCTCAGAAATTAATAGAGAGAGGAGGTCTGGGCCTGGGGAAGGTAGGTGGGATGATGATAGGTGAGCGCACGTAGGGAGTAGTGGGGATTGGTCAGTGAGGTGGGAGGAGTGGATAGATGGGAGAGAAGATGGGCAGGTCGTGTCAGGTCAAGGAGGTGGGGATGAGAGGGAGGGTTGGTAATGGGATAAGGCCGGAGGTGGGGAGATTTTGAAACTGGTAAAATCCACATTCAGGCCTTTGGGCTGTAGGCTCCTGAGGCGGAATATGAGGTGCTGCTCCTCCAGTTTCCAGGTGGTGTCATTGTGATATTGGAGGAGGCCCAGGATGGACATATCACCCAGGGAACAGTCTCCGAGCCTCCTCTTGGTCTCACTGATGTAGAGGAAGCCACATCAGGAGCCACTGCCCCTACACCTCCCCCCTCACCTCCATTTAAGGCACCACTGACATCTATTTCAAGCCCACCAACTCCCACAGCTACATAGACTACACCTCCTCTCACCCACCTTCCTGCAAGAATGTGATCTCCTACTCCCAATTCCTCCACCTCCGCCACGTCTGCTCCCAAGATGGGGTGTTCCACTCCTGAACATCCCAGATGCCCTCCTATTTCAAGGACCGCAACATCCCCCCTTCGGTGGTCGAAAATGCCCTCGACCGCATCTCTTGCATTTCCTGCACCTCGGCCCTCATATCCCCTCCCCCCAACAAAAATAAAGACAGAATCCCCCTTGTCCTCACATATCATCCCACTAACCTCCGTATCCAACGTATCATTCTCCGCCACTTCTGCCACCTACAAACTGACCCCACAACCAAAGATATATTTCCTTCCCCACCCCATCTGATTTTCATAGGAACTGCTCTCTCCACGACTCACTCATCCGTTCCACACTCTCCACTAACTCCACCACACCCGGCACCTTTCCCTGCAACCATGGCGGCACGGTGGCTCAGTGGTAAGCACTGCAGCCTCACAGCGCCAGGGACCCAGGTTCGATTCCAGCCTCGGGCGACTATCTGTGCGGAGTTTGCACGTTCTCCCTGTGTCTGCGTGGGTTTCCTCCGGGTGCTCCGGTTTCCTCCCACAGTCCAAAGATGTGCAGGCTAGGTGGATTGGCCATGCTAAATTGCCTGTAGTGTTCAGGGGTGTGTGGGTTATAGGGGGATGGATCTGGGTGGGATGCTGCAAGGGTTGGTGTGGACTTGTTGGACCGAAGGGCCTGTTTCCACACTGTAGGGATTCTATAATCAAACCACAGGAAGTGCTACACCTGCCCCTATATCTACTGCCTCAAGGCACCAAACAAACCTTCCATATTGGACAAAGGTTCACCTGCACATCCATCTATGTGGTCTATTGCATCCACTACTCCCAAGGTGGCCTCCTCTACATCCGTGAGACCAAGCGGAGGCTCAGAGACCACTTTGTAGAGCACCTGTGCTCTGTTCGCAACAAGCGACAACACCTTCTGGTCGTGAAACATTTTAACTCCCCCTCCCACTCCCTGGGTGACATGTCTATCCTGGGCCTACTCCAGTGTCACAATGACCCACCCGGAAATTGGAGGAGCAGCACCTCATATTCCGCCTCAGGAGTCTACAGCCCAATGGCCTAAATGTGGATTTTACCAGTTTCAAAATTTCCCTACCCTGGCCTCACTCCATGACCAACCCTCCCTCTTATCTCTACCTCCTTGACCTGACACGACTTGTCCATCTTCTCTCCCACCTATCCAATCCTCCCACCTCACTAACCAATTCCCACCAGTCCCTACCTGCACTCACCTATCACCATCCCACCTACCTTCCCCAGCCCCACCCGTCCTCTCTCTATTTATTTCTGAGCTCCCTTCCTCTCCTGCGCACCCCCCCACCCCTCCACCCCATTTCTGAAGAAGGGTCCCGGCCCAAAATGTCAACTTTCCTGCTCCTCTGATGCTGCCTGGCCTGCTGTGTACCTCCAGCAAAACAGTGTGCTATCTCAGAATTATATTCGTGTTTGTGACTGGATTGTCTGAGCCAAAGACTAGTTAATTTCTGAAAACTGTCAATATTACGCTGCAATTGGCCAGCAGGATGATAGGACTATACTCACATACGATACATTGAATAACTCAGCCAAATCCTTGGAAAGTTAGTCAGCTTTCATTGTGCTTAATAAGTAATTGCTCCTATAATTGTTGAAGTCTGTAATTATTTAAAATAACTGAGCTGTAAGTAACGAAATAAAATTCTTCTACAATGACTCTACAAGGCGGCTACATGACTGACTGATCAAATTACTGACTAATTCACAGGCCACTGTTCTTTTCATTCCTGCCCTGTTCCAATTCATCATACCCAGAGCCCTATTATTACCACAAAAGCAAGATGAGAATATTGAAGAAGTGAAGGCACTTCTTTGTCTTGAAACAAAACACCAACAGAAAGATGGAGTATCCACTACTTATGAAGTTCAGAGAGGCAACATGAGATGCATAAAGTTATAAGGAGTATAGATAGGGTAGACAGGAAGGAACTTTTCTCCTTGATGTAGGGATCAATGACAAGGAGGCATAGATTTAAGGTAAGGGGCTGAAGTTTTACAGGGGATGTGAGGAGAGCAGTTTTCACCCAGAGGATGTTGGGAATTTGGAACTCACTGGCTGTAAGGTTAGCAGAAGCAGAAACTTTCATAACACTTAAAAAGTATTTAGATGTTCACTTGCAATGCCAAGACATACAAGACTATCGGTCAAGCGTTGAAAAATGGGATTAGAATAATTAAGTGGTTGTTTTTAACTGGTATATATGTGATGGGGGCGAATGGCCCTTTTCTGTGCTGTAGATCTCTATGACTGTATAACACTAAGTCTGTTCAGTCCAATATGGAGTCAATAGCAAAGTGCTCACTTCCTCACTATCAACAAAAGACGTGGTAATTGTTATTTTGTTAATGAATTAATATACTCAAAAATAGTTGATCGTTAACTTTTTTTATTGGAAATGAACTTTTAAAAGTTTACATAAATTTATGCAATCTCATATTTTGTTTCTCTTTCTGGCATTCATTGATTTTGTGTCAAGTACAGTCACACTATCTGACCTGACATCACTGGTGTTACTATGGTAATATTACACATTTTAGACAAATCTATGAAGTATATAGTGTATGCTGTCTTTAAAAAATTCATTAGTCATGTCCTACAAAATAGAAAGAAATGGTCCATATATCTACATAGCATACAGTTAATCAGTCCACAGTATATTCCAATGATGAACTATTACTAGCTATTATCTTTGATTCATTAAAATGAATCAGGATAGGAAGAAGGATATTCTCCTTGCTAAGTAATGATTTTCATACTGGATTGAATTTTTAACCAAATGTTTCAATATGATGTTACAAGATCATTCACTATTAATTGAAGGGTATTCATTGTTAATTATTACAAATATGCTTTTCAGTTAAAGTAAAAATATCTGGTTACGTCATCTACTATTTTAACATATTGTTTTTTTACCTTTCTTCTGCAAAACTTTCCTCTCCTTTCATGAAAGCTTTGGTTCCCAAACAGGCAAATTTCTTCAGATGTAGGATGCTCTTGGATACCCCCTCAAAATGGTAATTCTCCAAAAATGATCCTAAATGGTGAGTACCAGCAGGATGTGGGTTCGCTGGAGGATGGGATCATAAAACACAGTCATTCAACTAGATGTCCAGGATGTTGCTTCAGAACCCTTCATACATGTGTACACGTCTAGGGAAGCCTCCATGATATCAGCATATTTCGACAGTTCAAGGTGCAAGTGCTCATTCAGCAGACTCATTCATTGACGGGTTCTTGGGAGCAACTCACTGAAGATATCCTACTCAAACCTAAGGAACCTGTGTACTCCAGTGCAGGAGAAGACCACCTGAGTAAGCAAGCAGACCATCAGGCTGTTTAAGAGGAGATACAGGTGGAAATAAATCCGGTAGGGATCTATAAAATCTATCTATAAAATAATTGGCAGGACACCACATCAACATATATGAAGCAATACCCACTTCCCTGTTGCCACTGGGACTGGCAGCCTTCAGATAAAATTAACAGAATTGCGGAATAAGAATCACAGAATTGTTACAGTGCAGGTGAAGGCCATTCAGCCCATCAAGTCTTCACCAGCTCTCTAAGCATTTTATCCTAGTGCAAAATCCCTGCCTTTTCATCCATGATCCTACACATTGTTTCTATTTAAATGTTCATCCAATACCTCATGAATGCTTCAGTTGAATGAGCCTCCACCACAATTACAAGCGGTACATTTCATACCCTAACTACTTGCTGTTCAGAGAAGTTTCTTCCTCACCTCATATTTGCAAAAACTATTTAACGCTGTGCATCCTGGTTTTCAATCTGTTTACAAGTGAAACAATTTCTCTGTATCCACTTTATCCAGACCCCTCATAATCTTGAAAACTCTATCAAATCTCTCCTTCGCTTTCTCTTTGCCAAGGAAAATGGTCCCAATTTTTCTGAACAGACTTCATAACCGATTTGTCTCATTCCTTGAACTATGCTTGTAAATCTCTCTTGCACTCTTCTCCAATGCATTCACATCCTTCCTAAAATGTGCCTAATTATATTACTCCTACCACCACAGCAGAGACATAATCTAAGGATTAAAGCCTGCAAATTTATGTTCCATTGTACTCAGCTACACAATTCTTTAATCTACACACTATTGCAGAAGATCAAATTGTTGAAGAGCAAATAATAACAGCCAAACTAAGAATCTTTTTTTTGTATGTTCTAATGTGAGAAAAGGATGTTTTCTAACCGCATCATTGGTGGCACTGTCACCAAGCATTGGAGCAAAGGAAATTAAACCCATCAATAAGTCACAAGAGTTAAGAATTACTGCTTAACTTGTGCTGGTTTATCTCAGTGCAATCCAGGTGAAATTCCCCGAGCCAGCACAAAAGATCAGAGAATTTTAAACAGGTTTTGTTAATCTTAAATTCAGTCTCTGTAATTATTCATGCTGCTGTGATTGTTCACTTGTGCCTGAAGCTGGCCTTATCCACAAATCTAACCTCACTCTAGGTCAAAATAATGATGGCAAGCTTTTGCCGATAGTGTTAATTAGAATGATTCAAGAATGTCTTATATATTTTCT